CAATCATCATTGGGCCGAAAGTCGCGAGCAAGCTCTGTTAGCCGTACTGTGAGTCCCACGCCATCTGTATTATCAAGCGTGAGCGCTTTGAGTAGCAAAGCCGACCTTCAGGATGAAGAAACTTTGTACAGCAGCGAAGAGATAATCGAATTAAAAGAAAAGGTCACAAAACTTGAGGAAGAAAATAAAGCCTCCAATGAGTCGATAGAAAAATTAGAGGAAGAATTGAGGTTACTCAATGAATCAAAATCTAAACTTGAGGAAGAAGTAGATAGCCTAAAACAAGAAAAGGAGAAGTGCGATCGTAAAATGAAAGAGATGGAAGAATTGTTGTTAGAATTTCCCCCAGGTGAACCGGATGATAGCGATAAACCAATGTTATTACCTAATTCTCAACCAGTAATTCCTCCACAAAACTTAATTCAAGAATTAGATAACAAACAAAATATTATTGAAGAGTTGGTAGAGAAATTGAAGAGAACAGAAGAACAATTAGAATATTATCAAAAAGCTTATCTTGAAAAAGCTAAGGAATATGAGCAATTAGTTGAGAGAGCACAAGCTGCCACAACAACCCAAGTAATACCTAATAATATCACTTCTGAAGGAGGTGAATCTAATGTTGTGATTGGCAATAGTGATCCATCAAATATTATTACTGATGTATCGCCTAGTAATGAAATTAAAGACATTGCAAGTGACCTTATGGATTTCTTTGGTCTTGGTGACAATCAAGAAATTTCTGCCATTGAAAAGCTCATTGCACAATTGGAAAGAACCATTGTTGAAAGAACAATGCAGAGAGACGCAGCTCATCAACGAGCAACTGATGCTGAGACTAAACTTTTGGCATTATCCAGAGAAAAAATGACATGGGGAAGTGGATACGATACAACAGTCAAGCAACTTAAAACACAGGTTCAACATCTGCAGGAGTTATTGCAGATGGAAAGGAAAGCGGCAAGAAAATCATTATCAAACAGCTCTACACAGGATAATTTACAAGAATCGCCATTACAAACAGAACATAATTCAACGAATGATCAGTCTCAGGCTACAAATGATTCGACGCATGACTTGAAAGATCTTCGCAATCAAATCGAATTGTTGCTCGCTGAAAATAAGAGCTTAAAGACTCAATTGACTACTTCAGAAGCCATGCGACAGGCAATTCACGAGAATACTTTAACTATATTGCAACAAGCCAACAAATCTTATGCTACTAGTGAAAACGTAACCGGAATAAGAAAATTTGCACTTGAAAAAGAAGCGGAAGTCAGTGTTTGGAAAGGTCGATGTACTGGGCTGGAGAATGTAATTGAAAGGCAACGTGAACTATTTTCCCATATTGTTCCTTCTATATCCGGTAATGCTATTCCATTCGGAACTAAAAATATGACGAGTGATAACGGAGAAATAAAAAAACTTTTTGAGGACGATGGTATTGATGAAAATATACTCACAGATCTCTCCGAGTCTGCAAAGAAGCTGGTTCAACAACTTCGAGAAGAAAACGCGTTATTACGCAAAGCACACTCAATATGTCAACAACCAATAAGTAAAAATGAAGATGTGCCGCCATTGATACCGTTTTCATCATCTACACCTACATCAATCCAGCTTGATGCACTTGCATCACAGATTTCTGAAATGGAGGTTCGTTTCTTAAAACGCGAAAAGGAATTGCAGGATATCATTGCTGAAACCAAACGCCAAGGGGAATTACAGCTAGAACGATGGAGTAGTGAGTGGACACGGATATCTAATAAGATATCCGGATAGACATTCTATTTTATATTTCTTTGAATTTATTTATAAATAGATGTTTATTCAGTTATTCGATTCTAATCCGGGTTGTATCCGGTTTACATTATACATTTTATTTGTTTATTGCGGATTTTGATTTAATAACGAACGAACATGTCTCTTAATTTGCACAATTAAGATATTAGCACCCGTTTATCCATAGAAAATCACTACCAGATGCAAATTACTTTTGTTGTAATGTAAAATACTTTTATATTTTGCTAAACTAAATAGAACAATTTTTCTTTACAAAATACAGTATCTGTAAAAAAAAAAAAAAATTGACAATTTAGTTATCAATACATGCTACTAGTAATACGTATAAAAATTGTATACATATTTTTTTAAAATATTTAAAAATAATATTTAAAAAAATAAATTATAATTAAAAGTTTAATTTTTAACATTATGCCACTAGATTCAGAATCGGGACAGTCCCGGATGAGAATTTGTAATTTTGGCCGAATTATACTAGCTAAAATTAAAATTTTTTTGTTATAAACCCCAATTCTAACCTTACCATTAATCCTAAAGTCTTGTTTCTGCCAAAACAATTCACTCCGGGCAGCCCGGGAGGTCTAGCAAAACCCTTTTCTCACATATATTTTGATTTTCTAGAAAAATAATTAATATTTGTGAAATCTAAATTTTACCCTGAATTTTTAAGTTATTTTTAGATATACCGGTAATTTGTAAACAATATCATGTGACTATTAAGTATTAATTAATTAATAAAATTTAACATATATCAATATATATTTAATAATAATAAATTTTAGATTGATATAATATTTATGTTTTTATTTGATGATAAAGAAAATATTAATTTTTCTTTATATGGCAATTTTATTGAACAATTGGATTT